ATAAATGCGGACTCGGATCAGACAGTCTGTTATAAATTGCGACTATTTTCAGCGACGTTATGTGTTTATACCAAGAATAAGAAAGTTTTTATTTAATTGAGACAAAGATTCGTAAGAATATAAATGGCTTTTGAGCTGAATTACGGATGATTTCACTTGCCCCAGTCTGTGGTATTAACGCTTTCAGTGTTTTGGGTATCCCTACTGGGGATACCCAAAACACTAGGGACTTGGATACGGGGGTACCCAAAACACGGGGATACCCAAATCACTATGACACCTGCGGTAGTCCCTCCTTTCGCGCGCTCCTAGCCCCCAGGATTTCGCGCGGCCATTTTTTTTCTCGGGAATTTCTTTCGCGTCACGCACGACGGACTAAGCGAAAGAGGGACTACTCGTAGTCTAGCCTGACTTCAGATTGATGCCACACAAAGACACTATGTATAGGTACAATACGTGGCGATAGTGTGTCGATTGCAGGGGAGCGGATTGAGGTCGAGGAAGAGTTCACCAACCTCGAGGACAAGTTGTGAGTAATACGGGAGGAACTGATGAGAACATCCAGGCACGCATTGAGAGGGCGAGACAAGCATTCTCGACATGGCCGTGGTCTACGGCACTACAATCTTGTTTTGATAAGAATATTGTTTTTCCGGCCGAGGTTGAATATTCTTATTTTTCTGCCGATTTTAGGCTGAAAATATTCTTGCCAAAATTCTTAGATTAAAGCGTATGACATTTCTGTTTTCGAATGCATTTGGTGTCTGGATGGCGATAAAGTGATTTTGGAGCCAGCATGCAGGCATTTAAGGAGGGGGGTGAACAGGTTTTTGGATTGACGGATTCGGCCTTAAAAAGCGCAGGGATTGTGGATTTTTACCATAAATCGAGTGGATTCGCGGATTTTGAAAACACAGTGAATTGTGGTTCAGTCGTGAATTTTGGCTCGGATTCCCGATTGTGCCTGTCTTGATGTTCGGATCTTGGATGGGCCCTAAACGAAATTTGGATCATAGATCTTCTTCAGCCTTAGTCGGTATATTAATGAGTTCATCCAAATTATTTCTTTTTTCGAAAGAAGCTCATTTAAACGCAGGTGTGAGACTGTTATTGGAATTGTACATCAAGCATGTTGCCGTCTTTACTATTTAGTGGAATTAAACAATGGCGTTAACATTTACCAGTTGACCTTTGAACTTTTACACTTCTGTTTCCGGATGTAGTTGTGGTTTCGGATTTGAACAAAAATATTGGCGGATCGACGGATTTGGCGAAAAAAAGGCACGGATCGGCGGATTTGCATATCCCTATTTACCCCCCTGTTAAAGCCTGATAAGAGATACATAATCACTTACCGAAATGTTAGTGATGTTTGTGTTGTTTTTTGGCCAGAGAAAAGGAAGAATTTAGAGAATTTAGAGAAAAGAAGAAATTTCTACGGTTTAGTTAAAAACATATAATTGAATCGTACTTAAAAATTTTTAACGCACAAAATTATATTCTTTTCAAAATCTCAGCCTTGGGTTTATTCTCAAAATATTCTTCAAATTTCGCACATTTCAGCCGCGATATTCTTATAAAATATATTCTTGTAGAAAAAAAAAAGAGAGAGTGTAACAACCGAGAGTATAAAGTTGAGAGTGTTTGGATCAAATGTGAGGGCGGTGCTCTTTGATGTTGTTCTGAAGGCTTATCAAGGGACTAAAGCAAAAGTTCCGGTTGTTTATCGACAAGGACCTGACGAAAATCCTGCGGATTTGGTGGCCTAGGAGAATCTGTAATGAGAAGCTATGGAACCAAGCAGGGTAGCGACTGATAGAGGGGGAGATAAGACAGAAAGCTTGGAGTTGGATTGGTTACACCCAGAGAAGACGGAGCGGACACGTAGACAAGTTGGCCCTGGGGTGGAACACACAGGGAAAGCGCAAGGGAGGAGGACCCCATCACACCTGGAGGCGCAACAGAAGGACAGAGGTGGTGGACAGACCGCTTTCGTGGCATGAGGCAGAAGGCACTGCACAAAACAGATGGCGAGCGCTGGTTCGGAAAACGTAGGTCCAAACAGGAATGAAGAAGACTAAGAAAGTAAGGCTTACATTACTCTCGGAATCGCTCCTTCAAATGCACAAATTCCTCTGCTTGGGTTTACATCGTAGGTTAGAGTTATTTTAGAGTTATAAAGATTCTGTAGAGATTTTCATTTTCCATTGTCTTTCTTTTTTTAAAGGGGGGAGGGGGGATGAGAGTCGGACGTGAGGTTAAAGTAAAGAGTGAAGGCTCCAGATCAGGATCTGCGCACGAATTCCAAACATATGGCCTCGTTCCTAGGACGCTATATTTTGCCACAATCG